ATGGAAGGGAGGGAAGGAGGGAGAGAGAGGGGGGGAAGAGAATGATGAGAGAAGGATGGAGAGGGGAGAAAGAAGGTGAGGGATGTAGGAAGAAAGATGGGAACAAGGGGGGTGGGAGAGGAGGAAGGGAGAGGACTGAGGAGGGTAATGAGCGGAGGAATATGTGGAAAGGAGGAGAGAGAGCAGGGGTGAAGGGAGGGGAGAAGATAGGGAAAATAGAAGGAGAATAACGATTTGGAGGGAGGTAGAGGGTAAGGATAGGGAAGAGAAAATGGAAAATAAAAAGAGCGGCGAAGAAAGTATTAAGGAAGGCACCAGAACTAGGGGAGATAGTGGAGAGATTGGGAGAAGGTGGTAATGATAGTAGAAATATTGAAAGAGAAGGATAGAGATATGTTGTTGGAAAGAATGGATTGGTTAAGAGAGAAGTGGGGGATGAGTGTGGATAAGGACTTAAGTATGGAGGAAAGGAGGATAAGGTAGAGAATGATAGAAAGGGCTAGGGTAGAGAGGGAAAAAGGAAGAGAGGTAAGAGTGGAGAATAGAAGGATGTGGTTGGATGGGAGGGAATGGAGATGGATAGGAGGAAAAGAAGGAAGGGGAGAGGAGTGGAGAAAGCTATAGAAGTGTTTAATTACAGGAAGGAAGGAGAGGATGAGAAGGTGAACAAGGGAGAGGAGAGGAAGAGAGAGAGAGAGAGAGGAGCAGGAATGGAAGGAAGGTGAAAAAAGGAGGAGAAAAGCAGGAAGGCGGAAGCAAAGGGAGGAGTAAAGGAGAAGTGGAGGACAGAAGAGGGACGAGAGGGAAAGGGAGGAGAGAAGGAGAGGAGGGAAGGGGTAGGCGAGGGAGGAGGGAACGGAATAAGAAAGGCGGGGACGTAGGAAGGGGGAAAAAGAATGTAATGGTCGCTAAGGGCTAGGCTGCGTGGAGAAGGGAGAAGGTGGAAAGAAAATGTAAAGGGTTGGGTACGCACCCTATAAAAGCGCCATTTTTATCCGAAAGGGAAATAAAGTGAATCTAATTTAACGTTTTCTACAGTAGATCATTTAGTGCTAATAATAAATTATATATGTATGTAAGCAGTTAAATGCAGCCTCAATCTGCACAGAATCTTGCACTCAAAATGAAACGAACTAAATGTCTTAAAATTGTAAAAGAAGTACTTTCAAAATACACGAAGAAAAATTAATTTTAATTATGCAAAGACGTAAATTTTCCATTTTAATAGACGAAAGTAATAAAATTAACTCCTCCAATGCCTCCCTGATATTTGGACCTGTCGCGACCCTCAGAGTTCGATACTCCACCCACTTTGTGAAAAGGTCCTGAATAACCAATAAATATTGAAAACAGGCCTTGCTTCTTGGTAGAGGGCCCACTATGTCGGCGGCGATTGCCGTCCATGGTCCTTCCACCGCGCGACATCCCATGAGTCCCGCTATGAGTCCTGCAGGATTAGTTTGCTCCACCTTGGTGCGCTGCAGCGCGCTGGCACGGATCGCATCGGCATATGTGATGGGGTTTGGAAGGATGCCAACGCTTTGCTCTGAACGTGTGGAAAACTTTATTTTATTCAACGCACTCAATCGTGCTGCGACGACGATGATACATTTTCGACTGACTGGTAGTACCGAAAAACGCACGACGACGGCGCCGGACGGCGCGCGGTGGGCGCAAGTACAACTACTTATACATAGTGACGCAACTAAACGAAACGCGCAAAACGCGCTAGATTAAGACTAGCTTTGATCACAGACATGCCGCCCCCCTTGAACAATCAATCAATTGGTTTGTTCAATCATACACTCGTGCGGAATCCATGTTGTCTAACACCTAAATTTAGACGACTATCTGCTCTTACGCTCGCAAACAAAAATTATAAGGAACATACAGGGTTAGCCTATGAAAACAAGGAAATCTTGATATAGTTAATAAACGCAATATACTAACTCAAACGCAGAATGAATTAATGGTTATTTAAAACGAACAATGAGCGCCATATACTAACTAAAAGGCATAAAGAATCAATAACTATTTAAATGAACAATTAGCGCAATATATTAACTAAAAACGCAAAACGAATCAATGGCAATTTAAACGAACATATATCTTATCACGCAATCTATCACAGGACTCACGTTGACCACGGCCCTTTTGCAAGTCCCTTTATTGTTCCGAGCCGTTATTGTTCGCACTACTTCGTCGGAGCCCGGATGGACCTCGGTGATTCGTGAAAGAGTCCATTTCAGAGGCATCGCGGAGTCCTCCTTCAACATGACCAGTTGACCGATCTTCCACTCGATGGGTGTCTCGGACTTCCATTTGCTCCTCTGCTGGCATGTAGTCAGATAATCCCGGTGCCATCGAGACCAAAAATGTTGTCTGATTTGCTCCACGTGTTGCCACCTAGAGAGTCTAGTGAGTTTTACCTCTCGCAAATCCTCTTCAGGATGGGTCCTTAGACTGGTTCCGATTATGAAGTGCCCAGGAGTTAACGCCTCCAAATCGTTCGGATCCTCAGACATTGGAGTAATCGGTCGAGAATTTAGTATGGCCTCCACCTGTGCCAGGACGGTCGTCATCTCGGCGACTGTTAGGGAAGCGTCGCCTACGGTGCGCTTTAGGTGTTGTTTCATGGAGCGCACCGCCGACTCCCAAAGTCCTCCAAAATGGAGAGCCCTCGGTGGTATGAAAGAGAAGCCTTCAATTGCGCACAGTACAATTGGACACGATGCAATTGCACACGGTGCTATTGGACACATAATGTTGCGCACAGTTCTTTTGCGCACAGTTCTTTTGCGCACCGTTCATTTGGACACAGTTCTTGTGCGCACCGTACAATTGGACACCGTTGCTTTTGGACACATCGAAATATAATTTAAAACACACAAATACACGCGCATATATGTAGAGCCCTGTTTGGAAATTTTGTTAATTTATAAATAATAAACCTTTCTAAATCAGCGTTTGTTCAATTGGACAGTTCTTTTACGCACAGTTCAGTGTCGCACAGTTCAGTGTCGCACAGTTCAGTGCCGCACAGTTCAGTGTCGCACAGTTCAGTGTCGCACAGTTCAGTGTCGCACAGTTCAGTGTCGCACAGTTCCGTGTCGCACAGTTCAGTTTCGCACATGTCAGTTTCGCACAGTTCACTTTCGCACAGTTCAGTGTCATTGCACATGTAACAGATACAAGGTGAAATAATCAAGA